TGCCAGATAACCAGAAACTAAAAGAAAGCCCCAGGAAATTTAGTTTGAGTAGTGGTCACAATGACCCTGAAAGCATTATTGTGTGTCAGACAATGAATTTGTTTACCAAATGGAATGTAGTTCCAGGTTCTAAAACCCCCTCTGCTTCCTGGGCTAGCCAGGAAGCTGCTTTCGGTCCTCTCCTGTGTGAGAGCTGGCCAGGGGCCCTGAGCTCAGTAATAATCTGCTTTCCAAATTCCAGTCTGGCTGATCTGGTTCCTATTCTGACATAACAATCATAGTAACTGGAATAAAGAAATACTGGGTTCAAGGCCCAGACCCAAACTCCCAGATGCCTCACTGTGAGAATTTAGTCAATTTGTCTTTTGTGGGGGTGGGATGCTGAGACAAGGTCTCACTGTATAGTTCAGCCTATCCTTGAACTCACTGCATAGCCCAGGCAGGCTTTGAATTCAACAGACTCCCTTCTGAGTGCTGGGATTATGGGTGGTCCCACCCCCTAATTTCTCTGTTTTTTTCCCCCAAAGTTTTATTGATAAACAGATAGCAATGAGACAGTTTCAAATCAAATTGGAAGTACAGTTTCAACAAATAATACACTGCCTATATTCTTTGTAACAATTACTTTTTTTTTTTTTTGGCAGAACTGGCGATTGAACTCAGGCCCTTGTGCTTACCAGGGAAGCAATTATCCTACTGAGCCATCTCCCCGGCCCCCCACCACCTAGTTTCAATTCATGCTTTTCCCTGGGTGTGATGGTTAATTTTAAGTGTCAATGTGGCTGGACTATGGTGCCCAGATATTTGATCAAATATTCCAGAGTATTTGCACAGGTATGGTGGGTTTTGTTTGTTTATTTGTTTCTTGTTTTAGGTGACATTAACAACTCAATGGATAAAGATCACTCACATTATTCAAAGTCCATTGAGTTGGAGGTTTGCCTTACAATGTAGATGTAAAGTGACCCTTCAAAGTTTTGTCTGTGCAGAGGTTAGGCTCTCAGAAGGTGGCTGAGTCGTGGGGCATTATTCTCATATGTGGATTAGTTCATAGCTGGATGTGCTGATAGGAAGTGGGGCCCAGTGGCAGGAGTGGCTCGTTCCAGCAGCTTTGTTGGGGGAATCTCTCTCCTGCCGTGGGTTGGGCACCTGCCTTTCTCCCTAGTTATTTCACCTTTGGTACCAATTGGTCATGGATTGAATCTTATGAAACTGTGAGTCTAAAAAAACCACCTGTTCTTTAGGTTGCAGATAACAGGTCTTTTCTCCAGCAACAGGAAAGCTAAATAATATACCCAGAATAGAACAAAAAGACTAACCAAGAGTAAATTCTCACAGTGAGGCATCTGGGAGTTTGGGTCTAGGCCTAGAACCCGGGATTTCTTTATTCCTTGGGATTTGAACTACAATGTTTTCTCTTCCCAGGGTCATGGAGGATGTTTCCATTCATGTATGTCCTTTTAAATATGTCTTGCCAGACGTGGTGTTGCATGCCTGTATCCCGGCACTCGAGAGACTGAGACAAGAGGATCCCTTCAGAGTTTGAAACCAGCCTGGGCTACAAAGTGAGCTCAAAGCCAGCCTGAACAGCATAGCAAGACTCTGTCTCCAAAAGATAATAAATAAAATAAAATAAATAAGTGTTTTGCTTTTTTTCCTTATCAGTTTTGAGGATTGAACCCAGGACCTTGTATATGCCAGACAAGGGTTATACCACCAATAGGGTTATATATTCCTAACGCTCTTATTTGTTTTTAATACAAAGTCTCACTAAATTGCAAAATTGGTATTGAATTTGTAACTCTTGCATGTGGAATCCTTTCTGCAATTTTTTCTAGATTGTCCGCTTTTAGTGAGATTAGACATGCACATTGGATTTTTGTGTGTTGATTTTGTATCCTGCTGTTTTGCTGATTTAAATTATTCGTGTGTGTGTGTGTGTGTGTGTGTGTGTGTGTGTGTGTGTATGATCTTTAGGATTTGCTGCACATATCTTCTGAGAACAGGTAATTCTACTACCTCCTAATTTGGATTTCTCTTATTTCCTTCTCTCAACCAACTGCTTCAGCTAGCACTTCCAGAGTTACATCAACTGGATGTTGTGGAAGTGGGCATCCTCTCCTGGTTCCTGATTTGTAAAGGACAAACTTCTAGTCTTTCTCCACTGCATGAAATGCTCTGTAGTTATAATTTGGAAGTAAACTAAATATCCCACAGAATTATGAGATACTGACATAGCAGTGTGCCATATCATTATGACAAGAAGTCAGCTCCTGGTGCACTGTTGGTCTTGCTGTTTGTGTACTGTTAAGGAAGAATCTAAGATGCATTATTAAGAAAAAAATAATGAAGGATGGACTTTAGATAGCGCAGTGGACTAAAGTGCCTGCTTAGGCAATTGCAGGGACCAGGGTTTGATCCCTGGCACCACATGCTATGCCAGCCCTGCTCCTGTGGTGCAGGGTGAGACAGTGACTGAGACTGGGTATGGTAGTGTGCAACTGTAATCCCAGTGCTTGGGAGGCTAAAAACAGGAGGATCACTACAAGTCTGATCTGTGTAGTGAGACCCTGTAGACCTTGTGCTAAATACATTAGAAAAAAAAAAGACAAAATGATAAAGAGGAAAACAGTGGAAAAAATGTCAACATTTGTAGAAGACAGTTCATACCTGAGTGTTTCTAACTTATGGATACTCA